GAGATCATGTGTGAACTGTGAACAGGCCCTTTTCATAACATTCTGACACAGATGGCGCACTTACTCCATGCTGTGTATTTCGGTTTGAAGTCGTCTAATATGATGTCTCTGGGCCAAAAGAAGCTGCACGAATGTGAACGTTTGACACAAAAACGAAAACATCAACAAAAACACTGGCCACGTTTTCCCCTCCACGTTTACAAATACAACACCGGGAGGCACAGCCGTTTAGAGGTCATTTCCGTTAAATTTTGTCACAGAATTTACCGGTAATTTGAAACCGATGTGTGAATGGTGCTTTACTGGAAAAAAGACGGAACGCCATTGCCCTTGTGAACAGTGCATTTTTGAATTTACCGGTAAAGTCGTTCCGGTAATTTTACGGCAATTTACTGGTATTACTGTGTGAAAGGGGTTTCGTATTTACATATTCGGATTTTTATAGTGCGCTATTGATTATACACGTGACGTCACACCCTTATAGGAACGCCCACCTGGAGGGCAAAACGAAGCTTTGCTCCACTGACCACCAGTTATTTTTATGCAGTTTGTAAGTAGTAATGTAGTAAAACGCAGATATTAAAAGGCGACATTCAGTAAACACCTTATTGATTGTGTGTATATTTTGTACAGGCAAGCAGATGAAGCCAGAATATAAACGCAATGTGCAAAGTTTCATGTTAAATGGTTTCCCATAGAAAACCATTAGAAGGAAAACACTGAACCATTAAGCGGATTGCGTTCATATTCCAGCCTCATCTGCTTGCCTATGTAAACTATGCATCATTAATATAGAGAATATTACTGTTTTAAATATAAATAAAGGCACTTTAAGTGTTTTCACAACGTTTTGTCGCACTGTTTAATATGGTGGGTGCTTAATTGCAAATGGCCAAAACTTGCATTTTGTTCACATACCTTTGTTTTATTATTTTGAGAGGTGATCTAAATATTTGCGACTGTGAAACAGATGGAAAATTGACAGGATTGTCCAGCAGTTCTATGGATGTTTTGCCCTCCAGGTCTTCGAGCCGGTCACGTGACTGAAAGCTATGAATAAGAAAATGACTGTAAAACTTTAAACATTAAAACTTAAAAAGTTTACAGTAAAAACCCATACATTATATTTTATTAACTGATATAATGTTAAAACACCAACCTACTAAAATTTTAAAATATGTTTTATGCTTTTATAATACGTTGACAACCACCAAAAACACAAAGTGTTAATGAGAAAGCCACATGATGAATCAAAGCTTATCACAGGTAACTTTTCCACAAGGGGTTAATATTAATATTAATATACAGAAGATTTACATTAATATACATAACTCTAAAATAATGTAGTAAACATGAATTTACTAACATAAAACCCTAATGTACATAACCGATAAGAAAAAAACTAAGAAACCGTTATTTCAATCAAAAGCCATCAAATGTGAAGTGTCACACAGAAATATCGATTTACATTTTTTCACTGTAAGTAATAGGATCACTTGGTTTTTTTTCACTTCCACAAACTACATTTATTAACTGTCCCATTACTACAGTTTTTCCTAGTATAGTAAGGGAATTACCATTAAGAAATCACCAGGTCTTTTTCCGTTAAAATATGATCATTTTTTACAGTGTATCACCTCATTCAAATCTAGTTTATTGCTTTTTTTGAATGTCCATTGACCAAAATATTTGATTATGATTAAAATGATTAAAATCTGGTCCCTCACAATCAAACGTCATGCTCAAAGATCCTTTTGTGTAATAAGTCCTTTGGGATATATAGTATATTAGGCACCATGTTTTAATTCAAACTTATAGTTTCGCTTGAGTAGACATGAAAAAAATAGTGTAGCCAAAAACTGCAAACAAAAACACTGTGTATGTATGTGTCTGTTATATATATATATATATATATATATAAATGTATAAATCAATGTATATTAATCAACAGTATCAACAGTGTCACATAATTATCACTCAGGAAACTATATATCTGTAATCGTGGAGGAAAAAATTAGTCTACAGCAGTTTAAGTAAAGTGAGTGTAGTGTTTTCAGAACTGCTTACTGTTTGATAAGTGCTTTATATTCTCCGTATTTGATTTAGATTGAAGGATTATGTCTGAAAAGGATTATGAATGATTATGTATGAAGGATTATGTATCTAAGTTGCCTTAGAGGGAGTCTACGGATTTATATGTTGTTGTTTTTTGGGGAATAGGGCTTTAAAACAACCAACTAAAGGACTGAATCTACTTAGTCAGGTTGTTCATGCTTAATACAGTGTATTATCATTTCTCTAGACCTACAAAAAAGATGTACAGCTCAATTGCATGTTTGACGGTGAAAATGTGGGGATCTCTGAGTAATGTTTATGTGAATACAATTTATGATGAAAAGAAAATACAAAATCAGTTCCGTGGTAGAAAACATTATTGATGTAACAGTTGATTTTTGTAAGTATTGTAATGTTACCTTTAGGATGTGATGGCAATATATATATATATATATATATATATATATATATATATATACGTCTTGACGTTCGTAAAAATGCAATCTTTTACTGTAGTTCTGTTCCTTTATTATGACATCATCACTGCTCTTGCCACAACAGTATAGGAATTGCACAATTCTTTTGAAAAATGTAATGCCCTTTGTGCCTTTGGTTTTTCGTTAATCAATATATATGACATTATTGCAAATATTTGGTCATCTAAGATGCTTTATGGTGTTATAGGACAATGAAGCGCAGAGTGAGAGAAGTTTCTATAAGTTCGACTGTACTTTCAGTAATGTACACTATTATATAATGGCAGATTTTAAATGTGTTAGCAAGTTTTGTTTCTCAGCTTGTGTTTCAATATGTGCAATTTTTGAAGAAAAACAAATCATTTGAAATGAAATGAGCTTTGCTATGCCATCAGTTGTACCTTGCTTGTATAATATTACCTGTATTTGAAAACAACATTGTCAATAAATTGAACTGTAAGAATTAGTGTTCATGTTCTGTTCAGAGATGTCAATTATGGGGTTTTCTTCGACTGAATGATGTGTGAAAAATCATTCAAGACAACAAAGCCAGATGAAAGAAGCGTAACCACGTAACAAAGGCAGTATCGCCATGGCAACCTATTGTGCATCTTATAGCCTATTTCAAACAGCAAGAGACATTCTTTCTTCCACACCTTTGATGCTTGTCAGTATAATGAGAACATCTCAGATACGTCATAGAGGAAGACATGATGATCAATGGACACTGTGTCTATAGCTTTAATTTAGAAAAAAAAAAAAAAAAATATATATATATATATATATATATATATATATATATATATATATATATATATATATATATATATATATATATATATATATATATATATATATATATATATATATATATATATATATATATATATATATATATATATATATATATATATATATATATATATATATATATATATATATATATATATATATATATATATATATATATATATATATATATATATATATATATATATATATATATATATATATATATATATATATATATATATATATATATATATATATATATATATATATATATATATATATATATATATATATATATATATATATATATATATATATATATATATATATATATATATATATATATATATATATATATTTTTTTTTTTTTTTTTCTCTCTAAAATGGTGATATTTTTTAATGAAACATTATGGAATTAATATAAAACATCCATTGAAGATTACATAAATGTTTAGTTTATCAAAAGATATAAATTCTAGATTTTCCACTCTGACTTTCTTTCTTTCAGGGAACATCAAAAGAGATATTTAGTAGTTCAAATGCTCATTTCCAAATACAAGTGGATAGGAACCATTCTGTTAAATTCCTCACTTTAGAACGACATGAAGATGAATAAAGGATGGCAGAATTAAAAAAATTTTAACCGTCCTTATAAAGGTGCATTAAATAATTTTTCATACAACGTGCTTTGCAAGTTAAAATGATGGTAGGCTTCAAGAAACAGAAAATTAAAGGGCTTCTTTTTACAGAGTTGTCCAGAACCTTGTCAGATTATGTGCACATTAACACTTTTCAGAGATGGTTCTGTCAGTACCGAGTTAAATCTAGTTCTTGGTAAGTCTGATGAAGTGTTAACGTTGCCATGGTAGACATTAATGGATAAACATAGCGCTTCAAGGTCACTCTGTGAGACTGTGAAACATCTGTTTGTCAGAACAGCCCCAGAGAAGGAACATGTACAATTCATTTCCATGGAATCTGTGAGGTGTGTAATTACAAATATATTGTGAGAGAAAATGACTTATCTGTACTTACACCCTCCATAATTTTTTTTTTTTTTTTTAATTGAAATACTAGTCTACCATCTTTTCTGACTGGAATGGAGTGAATTTACATCATCAGATCATGGTGGTTACATAAACATAGGTAATATGTACTGAATGTTGCTAAAAATATATAAAATAAAAAAATCGTTTTTGAATGCAGCAGTCAGATGTCTCAGATTGTCTACAGTAAATTAAAACAATGCATTTATTAATTGATAGATAACTGAAATTATAAACTCAAAATATTTTATTTTCAAAGTTTAATTAGGCTACACATAAAAACAATGTAAAAAATATTATTTAAAAATTACAATAATAGCCTAAGTATCATTCATGATAATATCAGATCAATTATGAAATATATCAACCTGATAATAGTAAACCAATGGTAGCAATAATTCATATACATTAGGTAATCCATTTATTTATTCGTTGGTCTCCCTATATTGGTTGGTTTAAAAGATATGTGACGAAACAATTTCAAGGGAAAAATTAGACGAAAGAAAAACATATACAGCAATAGCCTTAGAAGAACTGAATCTAGGGCATTTCTAAAGCTTTACCAATGGGAACCAACAGAAAAACAGCGGATGATGATCCTCAACCGTGACTTTTATTATGGTGTGTATTCTACGACCAACCGGAACAAGCCCGCTGTGATCAGCATTTAAATACCTTAACAAAGCAAATAAGTGTCAATCCCGTTAAAAATGAACCGAATTTTCGGACGGAGCAATAAAACGCCTACTCCTAACCTTTCTGACTGCATAGGCAATGTAAGTAGTGTATTGTTGTGACTTTCTCCCAGAACATGAGTGCAGCATCCTGATTGGTGTTTGCATGTCAGACATGGATGTACTGTGGATGCTGTGTGTGCTGTTCCCGTTATAGGTGGATACGAGGATCGAGTCAATCGATAAGAAAATAGCGAGAATCGACGCAGAGCTAATGAAGTATAAGGACCAGATGAAAAAGATGAGGGATGGACCCTCAAAAGTGAGCATCAAAAACTCGAGTTGATATCGTGTCAACATGCAATAATGCAATCTCTCATTCTAACTATACAGTGAGATCCAAAAGTCTGTTTTGCTTTTTCAGTACATTATTATCAACATAACAACCTGTTAATCAATTTTACTTTTTAATTGAAAAATTAACATGAATGTCTCAGTTTTGTATGTACTCCTATGATAGCAGAACTCGTGCCAGTATAAATGTAGTATCATTGAGATAGTTTTATTAATATTTTGAATTAGTTTTTTAATTTCTTTTTTTATTGTAGTTAAGGTTTAAGTCATTTTGTTGTATTTTGTTTTTCTTTTTAAATTTTACTTTATTATTGAAGTAACATATAATTTAAATGAAAATGAAAAATGTTGCCTTGCCAACTACTATTACACATTATATTATATACTATTATATTATTATATTACCTTTAGAAGTTTTCAAGTTCACAAATTTACTTTATTTACTTTATTATATGTGGTCTCAGATTTTTGGACCCCACTATAAATCATACAGAGTTCTGTAAGCATGAAATGAACAATCTCTTTACAGAATGCAGTGAAACAGAAGGCGATGAGAGTGCTGAAACAAAAGAGAATGTGAGTTTTTCCCTATACTAATATTAATTTGTAATGTGTGAAATGTGTATTTCAATATCTAAGATTATGTTTTATAATAATAATGTTAAATTCTGTTTTTGCTGTATTATGCAGGTATGAAGGTCAAAGAGATCAGCTTTCCCAGCAGTCATTTAATATGGAACAAGCCAACTATACAATCCAGTCTTTAAATGACACCAAAACAACAGTAAAGTCTTGTTATTATCCATATTATTCCCAGCACTGTTAATGCATAAAATGTTTGTTTGTTTGTTTGTTTATTTATTATTTAAGATCCAACTTCTTCTTATGTGGTATTTTCCTAATATATATTATTTGGGACAGTGGGAATCAAAATTGTGTGTGTGTGTGTGTGTGTGTGTGTGTGTGCATCTAAAAAATTAGAATATCGTGAAAAAGTTAATTTTTTTGTAACATTTCAAAAAGTGAAACTTTCATATATTCTAGATTCATTACATGTAAAGTAAAACACTTCAAAAGTTTTTTTATTTTATTTTTGATGATTGGAGCTTACAGCTCATGAAAGTCAAAAATCCAGTACAAGCTGGAGAATACTGTCAAGCAAAGCCGATTCAAACAATTGGGAGAGCTTCACAAGGAGTGAACTGAAGCTGGAGTCAGTGCATCAAGAGTCACCATGCTCAGACGTCTTCAGGTAAAGGGCTACCAAGCCACTTCTGAAACAGAAACAACGTCAGAAGCATCTTACCTGGGCTAAGGAGAAAAAGAACTGGACTGTTGCTCAGTGGTCCAAAGTCCTCTTTTCAGATAAAAGTCAATTTTGCATTTCATTTGGAAATCAAAGTCTGGAGGAAGACTGGAGAGGCACATAATCCAAGCTGCTTGAAGTCCAGTATGAAGTTTCCAAAGTCAGTGATGATTTAGGGTGCCGTGACGTCTGCTGGTGTTGGTCCATTGTGTCTTATCAAGTCCAAAGTCAATGCAGCCGTCTACCAGGAGATTTTGGAGCACTTTATGCTTCCATCTGCTGACAAGCTTTATGGAGATGCTGATTTCATTTTCCAGCATGACTTTAGCACCTGGCCACAGAGCCAAAGCCACTTCCAAGTGGTATGCTGACCATGATATTACTGTGCTTAATTGGCCTGCCAACATGCCTGACCTGAACCCCATAGAGAATCTATGGGATATTTTCAAGAGAAAGATGAGAAACAAGAGACCAAAAA